AAGTCATCAAAGATCTGTCTTCAAAATCAATCAGATGGTCTTCACTAGGAAATTCTACAAGATTTTAAGGAGTGAACAGTTTCAAGTTATTTAAGCCATTCTTCTTTGCCCTAGCAGAGAAAAAAAGTAAACGCCTTGGCAAAGAGAAAAAGGAAACTCCCAAATTATCAAACTACTATATATTGTGCCAAAAACAGAAAATCTCATGTATAAATCTTGAAGCAAAAATCCTAAATATTAGCAGATAGAACCTAAGAGCACACAATAATATATCAAAATTCAGATAGTATGTATTTTAGGAGTGAAAAAATGGTTCAACATTGGGTAATCAACTAATTAACATAATTTATTGTATTAAAAAGAGGAAAACTGCATGATCATTTAACACAAATGCTGGGTATTTATAAGTTTCAATACCCAAACTTGAGAGGAAAAATAAACAGAAATCAATACTTCCTTGATAATGATAAAAACATTGATCTTATCCCCTATTACCTTACATAATAGGAAAACACTGAACATGTCAGGAACGAGATACCAATGTATTGGAGGAGTAAGTCAAAACAATTAGATAAGAGAACTACATTAGAGGTATTTCTAATTTAAAAAATTTAAAAAGTAAAACTGCCTTTACTTATGATTCTCTTCAATTTTCTAGGTGTATGATGATCTGAAAAATCACAATAAAAAGATAATTAGGTAAAGTGGTAGGAAAAATAATTTATATCCTCCTATTCATGAGAGGGAAAATTTGTGACCATAGTACAGAGTTGTATCAAGGAAATGACGAACTAGAACACTGAATTGAAAGGTTTTGAAAGGGTTCATAATTTATTTTCATTTTCTATCAATGTCTTCTTTTAAGTTCTCTTAATAAAACTTTTTTCTAATAAAAATTTAATAAATGTCATATATGCAAACATCGTTTTGTTAAAATTATTTTAAAAAGATCTTATTTGTAATAGCAATAAAATAGAAAATGCCCAGCAGTTAACAAAATGTTCAAAACGAAGATAAGGAAAAACTTTTAAACATTGCTTAAAGACACAAAAATACTGCCAGGCATGGTGGCGCACACCTGTAATCCCAGCACGTTGAGAGACCAAAGCCAGTGAGGTCAGGAGTTCAAGACCAGCCTGGTGAACATGGTAAAACCCCATCTCTACTAAAAGTACAAAATTAGGCGGGCATGGTGGTATGCACCTGTAATCTCAGCTACTTGGGAAGCTGAGGCAGGAGAATTGCGTGAACCTGGGAGGTAGAGGTTGCAGTGAGCCAAAACAAACAAACAGACAAAAAAAACCCACAAAAATACACCTGACCAAATGAGAAGATGTACTACATCTATCAATCAGAGCCCACTCAGGAAGAAAGAAACCACAATATGTATTTCAAATAGAGAAAATGCACTACAGGGAACTGGTTACTACACAGGTATTAAACACAGAAAAAAGTGAAATGACAACACTGAGGCAATTCATAATGACTGCTGGAAGAGGTTACCACTCCTAGGGCTAAGATGACAAAATATGGTGTTACTAGAACCTACTATCTTAGAGAAGGGGCTTGCGGAGCTGTTGCTCAGTCCTATGATGAGAAGGCACCCCTCTGCTGATACAGGTTGAGTATTCCTTATCCAAAATGCTTGGAACCCAGAAGTGTTTTAGAGTTCAGTTTTTTTTTAAATTTTATTTTTGAGTTTGAAATACCTGCATTATATACTTACTGGCTCAGCATTCCTAATTCAAAAATCTGAAATCCAAAATGCTCCAGTGAGCATTTCCTTTGAGAGTCATGGAGGTGCTGAAGTCTTGGAATTTGAACACTTCAGATTTCCAATTAGGGATACTCAATCTGTACTTCTCAGTGGTCGTGATGAGGCTACTTCTGAGTATGCCAAAAGCAGCTAGATGCTACAGCCTGGAGCCACTGCTGCTGAAGATAACTACCATTGCATAAGCAATGCCAGTAGAAACAGAAAAAAGAAAAAACAAAACAACAAAAAAAAAACAAGATGACCCTTTTCCCCTCTATCCTGCAAATACTGGCAGAATCTAACAGAAATCCAGCTAGTAAGAGTTTAGGGAATAAAGTTTACAAAGCCTAAAACCCAACATCACAGAGTGTAAAAGTGTAAATTTTGAGTTGAACAGTTGGTCCATTCTACTCTTCTGGCATACACATTTATACTTCCATAAAATGACAATTCCAAGCTTCTATCCAGTGAGATGGAACTATCCTTTATACAAATGAAGGTACTTTCACCCTCACCCTAAAAAGGAAGAAGCAAAGTCCCAACAGTAATTGTATCCATCTGTGGATGACATTAAGACCTCTTCTAGTTGAATCACAATTCCTTAAGAATATTTTGCAACCTAATGTTTAAACTACAGTTAGCCACCACCAATATTCCTTAAAAGGAGAAAGAAAATATATACATAATAAGCAAAGAAAGGAATATGATTGGGGGCTACAGTCTTTGTTTCTGTAACAGATGACAAGGCTACAGTTATTTGTAACTTGCTTCTCCTACCCATTCCATATCATTCCCTTTGCCTACACCCAAGAGCTCAGCTGGCTGCATTAGGATTAACTTTAATTAGTTCCTAATCTGTACTCTCAGTGGTCCTGTTTAATGGAACGCTGTGGTTTCCCATTATCTTTTAATTTTGGACATGGAAGTTATTAAGAGACACCCCAGAAAAATCCCTTGGGCACAGTCTACTCGGTGCTAGTTTGTAGCAGTAACTCAATTTCCCCTTGGTAATTTGGATCAATCACCTCAACACATTAAGTAACCACTTCTTTCCCTGCTGGTTCTGTAAGCATGAAGAATCCCAAATGGTCAGGTGGCAGTCTCAAATTCAGTTTAAGTCAATTGTTGTGCCCCTTGGTAGAAGCATACTATCTATGAGGGTCTGTTTCTTTGGGCCTCCCCTGCTAGCAAGTATTCATCAGTTAAGAGTTGTCAGAAAAACAGAAATCACATTAGGTAGCTCAAGAAGAGGGAGTTTAGTATAGATAATTTGTTTTTGAGGTATTAGAGGAATATAAGGGCCAATGTGAACGTGAAAATCATCCAGAGACAACTGCAAGAGGCAGCTCCCATAAAAGGAGGTAAGGTGATCTTACCTACAGAACCTACAAGCTTGGAGCAAGGGCCCCCAAAGAGTTGATACTCAGCTTAGGAGGAAAGGTATCACTTCCCTCTGAATGTCAAGGAAGGCTTCACGAGAGGAGTGATGGCTGAGATGGGTTTTAAAAATAAGTTTACTATGCATAGTCTTTTCCACCTTTATTACTAATGCATCCACTTTATAACTGGCCTGGTCATTTAGAAGTGGTTACAGGGACTACCACTTTAGCACATTAAATGTATTAGTAAATATACCAAACCATGGGTGCTATAATGTGTCCAAATTAAAACTAGGATTCAAAGTCATCCTTTCCTGCTTCAAATATGTTCATTTAAGGCTGGGTACAGTGGCTCATGCCTATAATCCCAGCACTTTGGGAGGCCAAGGCAGGGAGAGCACTTGAGGCTGGGAATTTGAGACCAGTCTGGCCAACATAGCAAAACCCCCTCTCTACTAAAAATACAAAAATTAGCCAGATGTGGTGCATGCCTGTAATCTCAGCTACTCGGAAGGCTGAGGCAAGAGAAGCTTGAACCCGGGAGGGGTTCTTAGCATTCAACTTCCACACTAAATGCTAAGATTGCGCTACTGCACTCCAGCCTGGGTGACAGAGGTTGCAGTAAGACGAGATTGCGCCACTGCACTGCAGCCTGGGCAAGAGAGTGAGACTGTGTCTCAAAAAAAAAAAAAAAGTTCGTTTACAGAAAGGCACTAAGAGATTCTCTGACCAGAAGAGTACACATTTATCAAGTAAACAGAATGTATGAAACCAGGTATCACCATCCTGTCTGATGAAGGTAATCAGAACTCCTATTTACTTTGAGACAGAGTCTTGCTCTGTCACCCATGCTGGAGTGCAGTGGTACAATCTCGGCTCACTGCAACCTCCACCTCCTGGGTTCAAGCAATTCTCCTGCCTCAGCCTCCTGAGAGCTGGGTTTATAGGCACCCGCCACCACACTCAGCTAATTTTTGTATTTTTAGTAGAGATGGGATTTCACCATGTTGGCCAGGATGTTCTCAAACTCCTGACCTCATGATCCACCCACCTTGGCCTTCCAAAGTGCTGGCTTACACGTGTGAGCCACCACACCCGGCCCAGAACCCTTATAAAGGGATCTACCACTTTGCTACCTAGCATTATTGCTGGAGCAGCTAAGTAACATACCAATTTACTGAGAAGTTTTTTAATGGTATCTGGGTGCACTGTCTCCTCTTTACCTTTTTCTGGTGCTATGGTTATTTTCCACAACACACAGGCCCTTTTTATCTGAAGCTGGGAAAAGGGTATTTGGATACTCTAAGGAAAGTGGGTGTTAGTGAGAACAGTGCACAACACAGGAAGGTTCAGCAACACAAATTTTGTGGTACAAGGGGCTTGTTTTTGGATACATAGACAGATTGGAGTACACACACTGACTAACCAACGCAGTAATTACAAAGAGAGGGTTTGAAATCATCTGGCTGAGAAGCTGCTGGAAAGGCCAAAACTACCCACAGATACACTTTGAATCTAATTACATTAGCTAAAAAACAGAGGTATGGAAAGAACACCTTGCTTTTATCAAATGAAAGAGAAAATAATTCAGATAGAGATGCTAAAGGGAAAAAGCATTGAAATGAGAGTAATTTATAATTTGTTTACAAAGCTTCCCTAACTATGCTAGACAGCAATTACACCCTCTGAAGTGACATCGCTGATGCACAGATATAAAATCCGGGCAGGGCAAAAAGCCAGTGAGGCTCAAAATCTGAGGACTGGAGAGAACAGTTTAAGATCCTCAATCCTGTGATGCTTGTATGTTAAAGACTTGAAATAGAGAACTAAAAAATGCAGCCTTTACCTGTCCTCTACCCTGACAGGAGATTCAAAAGGCAGAACAGATGAAAAAATGGAAAGAGAGGCTTGAGAAAAAGTATTATTCTGCGGAAATTCAAGATGACTACCAGCCTGTCACTCAACAAGAATTTCGAGAGTAAGCTTATGTTCTAACCAGAATATTATGGAATATCATGACATGGACATTGAGGACATTTCTTTCCTGAACCCAAAACCTAATTCTATTGGGATGCCTTTAATCTCTATCCGATTTCAAAGTTTCATTCAACTCCATTTGCTTAAAAGGTTAAGAAACTTTTAATTAAATCCCTGTATCTCTAGTAACAGAAACGGCCATTTATATTTGATTTGCACAGCAGATAGTTTCTCCACACAGCTTTAGAATATTAGATCTCAAGAGGCACATTTTAGGAGCTTACAGTGCTATCTTCCCACTCAAAGCGTTTCGCACTCGTAACTTGCTGTCTATACATGAAAGTATATTACTAACTCATTTCTCTATTTCCTTCTAAATTTTCTAGGCTTTTTTTATATGCTGTGGAGCTGGAGAAGGAATTACACTATATCAATTTGAAACTAAATCAAGTGATGAGAAAGCTTTCAGCTCTATAATATTGAGACAAGTGGAGGTAAGATCTGTCATGCAATCCTTAAGCATTTCTAACAAAGACTTATTCATGTATTACTTCATAAACTTGTGCTCTTTTCAGGCACACCTTAAAGGTACTGAACAACCTATCATCAAACTATCCTCAGGGTCAGAATTAAGTGTCTCTGACAGGGACTTACTGTACAATCCATGCATATTACAAGCCTCCAGTATACACACACTGGTACACACAAAGGATTTTATAATGAAGTTATCAAATTCTAGAAAAGTGAAGGATAAGTAGAAGAAAATGCTTCTAGTTCACAGGGCAGGTCTGTAATAGCTCAGTAAGTAGGTAGAGAAAGACTGTTTTCTCATAGTTACCAAGTAGAACTACTGGTGCTATCAAGTGCATCATGTACCATGTTCTGAATTCCTTTGGCCACAGATAAATAAAGGCTTAAGATTCTAAAAAACTATTATGTAAGACTCAAGTAATCTCCCTCCATTCTTTAGAATATGAAGTCTTCTGGAAAAAGCCAAAGTGTAGAACAAACTCCCTAGCCACCTACAGAAATTTCACTAACATCCTCAAACTGGAATTTTACCTAGACCGTTTCTAAGGTATAATGCATTTAAGGTTTCCCAAAAATAAAATACAGAGCAGGGTAGGCGTATCAGTGTCATAAGAAGTTATGTTTGGAAAGTGTAAATGAGGATCCTGTAACAGCCTTATTTGGAGGGCTGGAAAATTGTGTGTGCCTGTCATTTTGGAAATTAAAAGCTCTTCTAATATTTCTAGGCTATGTAAGCCCCTCTACAGTAGCACTATGTTCTCTTAGCCCAAGCAACATCATTTGACCTTAGTTAGCACTCAACTTCCACATTGGTGCTCAATAGTCCCTGAATTTTAAAACTCGAATACAAAGATATTTTTAGATAACTACTCACCTTCTTCGGGCCAAGCTCTTCTCTTAAGCAACCATATATCAAGAGTTCTTAATAGGAAAATTCACTGCAACAAGAAATACTAACTGTTCTCTCTGTGGCTCTCCCTAGGTTAGCACAAGGGAATGAACATGGCCTTTCCCTGCCCTACCATTTCCCAGAGTTGTAGCCAGCCAAATAGTTTAGTGACCCTGTTGTTCCCTAACATGGCCCCTGGGTGGGATCATTTAAACAAAGCCTAAGGTGAGGGAACACTTAAGGTCTTTTTTTTTAAAACACCCGGTGGAAAAACAAACATACATTTACAATGACTTAGAACTTTCAAGTTCTTTTATTACAAAAGTCTGTACAATGAAGTGCCAGACAGCAATGCAATTATACTGGTAGACATATATATCTATATATTATTTGTATATAGATATACAGTTTTTATTTGTACCAAAGTAAAACTATCACCAACTGCCTAATTCTATCACCTACTGCTCAACTATGACACACAATACTGTCACAGAGCATAAGTGCCGCCATGCCACTTTTAGATATTCTACTCACAGCCAAACATTAACAATTAATAACATCATGAAGCAGCTGTTAATCCTAAAATGAAACCAGTCAGGCTATTGACTTATAAAAATATGGTACTCATATAGATTTAGCATTATAAAGAAGGAATATATTATTTAAAACATTTAAATAGTGCATATGGACATTTTTGCATGTGGTATATAAAATAAGACATTCATATAAAATACACAGTGCACATAAAATTAGATGTTTGGATACACTCCTATCTGGAGACTGAAGGAAATTATCTGAAATGTACACTGCATGATGGATTGAAATAAAAAGGAAACATCTTTTGGCATTTTCAATTTCACTTTTCTAGGTATACATTGTGAATAACCTAGTTGTATCAAAAGGAAACCACACAAAAAGGGCAAGATTTAGTGCTTTTCTTTATTCCCCAACTACACATTCACTACTAGGTTTTCCCAACCCCCCCACCAAAAAAAAGGCATTGCACACACAGGTGAAATGTGAAGTACTAGGACTGCTATTTATTATCAAGCTACTTCATGTGCTTACTATGTAATAGTGCCAGAAGTCTGAGGTTCATGCTTCCCTCACCTTATTAAAGGATGTTGCAAAATTCCATTTTTATATGGAACAAATTGTTAATATTAGCTAGTTAAGAAAACCATGCATGAGTTATTGCATGCAAAACATGGGTATAGTCAAAGTGAGACAGTCATCGATCCAAAAAAGCACCAGAAAAAGAAAGTTAACACTTAAGATTAAGCCTGACTCAAATCTGCTGTTGTAGTTAGCACAAATGAAATCACCATTCCCTAACAATGATTACCAGAATGATACTGAGAGAGTACCTAAAGAAAAGCCATGCAAAGCCAAAGGAAAAAAAGATATACTAAGAGTATATGACAAGGGGCATACCACTACATATCCTGTAAACAGCTGCTTTAAACAGCATGTGATGATTGAGCAAAGGGTGGTCCCTGAAAGGGGTGCTGTTGTTGGACTTTTTTCTTGTTATGTATTTTGCTGATTAAAAGTAGGGGGGGGAAGAAAAATTTAACCTCATGAAGATACATGTGAAAATGCAGTGGTATAGCCCTTGTTAAGAACAGATAATTACTTTAGGCATAATTATTATTTTGCTGATTTAGGCCCATTGATTGAACACACAAATCTGAGCACCATCAGAGTTCCTACATACTGACATGGCTATTTTCTCACATTATCTGAAGATGGGTAGAGGGAACAGAGCGGATCTGATCCAGACAAATCACACCATCGCCAGCAGATAAACAGTAACTCAGGAAACAGTAACTGAAGTCCCATAGGCAGCATGTGGTATGATTCAGTTCTGTGTGTGATGTGCGGTGTGTGTTTTCAATGTACTAAGCAAGGTCACTTTTTGGTCTACCAACTGTTATCTTCATCCAGGAGCTGTGTGACCACTTAATTGCAAAATTTTGCTAACATACTACCTGTGAGAAGGTGTCACTTTGGGAATTAACAGAAAGGTATTCCAGAGTAGGACTTGAAATCTCAGTTTGATTTTGGTTTTCTAGGAAAACAGAGAACACAGTTGCATATGTGCACTTTTATAAGCGTTTCTTTCAAATTTTCAGTCATTCTGTAAGAAAAAGGCAACACAAGAATTCAGTGTGAAGATTTTCCTCCAATTTTCTTCAGTAATGAGAAACAAAAAGTTGGTAATAACAAAAAGCTTGCATTTCCAAAGTTCTTGAGGTTGAAAGGATAAAATTCTAGTCTTTTGCTAAAAGGATGTATCTGTAGTAGAAAACAATGAAGGAAACTATATGTTAAGTTGGAGAGGACAGTCTGTGGTTAATATGGAACATCACTTATGCTCCCTTGAGAGGGCCTACTTACCCTTCTATCATATGTTTTGTTTAGTGGCACCACAATCAAGTACAAAATGAGATTCTCTGAGTGCCTGACAAAATGAATTTAAGTACAAGCCAAGTACACACGATGATAGCTTCAAGGAATACAACTGACTTTATGATATGAATTTTCAAGGAACGTATTTTATATGGATTTTGAAGAATCTTGTTTGCTTATAAGAACTTCAAGAAGCCTAAGCTTGGCTTTAATTTTCTTGTACTCCCTGTACTCCTCCAGCACTGGAACACGATCCTCTTTCTGGGCATTCCTATGGGAGAAAATAAAACCTATAATGTTCTAGAGATCATTTGGAAAAAAAGGACTCAGAAGTTGTCCTAATATGAGACATACTGTTACTAAATATAAGCTCAAATAAAAAGTTGCTCTGTAAAAAAAAAAAAATTATTGAACTAATACCCTCATCCCCAAGGAACATTTCTAAAATTTTTGATAGATTTCTCTACTGATAGATTAAATGATGCTATACTTATCAATAATCAATATAGATAACTGGAGGAAACCCAATATTTTAATAGGACATCCAGTGCTAGACTCTGCCAGGTCAGTGTCTACTAAGTGTTGGAGGCTATGCTGAGTCATTTCAGACATTTAGTTAACTGTGGCTCCAGTGAATTGAGATGTAAAAGTAAACTATCTTACCTGCAGCGATAGAGTAATTTTCTAACTTTATAGTAATGACCCAATGCAATTCAATAGCTAAAGCATCACTAGCTAAAGCATCAAACTATCCTAATTATAAGCAAAATTTTCTTCCAATAATACAATGAAATAGAAGACTACTGGGAAAAATGCATTCCTGCACTTCAGATTTTTTTAACCATATGTGCCAACCTATATAGGAGACTCACAAAGCAAAGGGAATTAACGTACACATATTTTGGAATTTGTAATATTAGCTATCACCTTGGTAAGATGACCCAGCTACTTAGAAAAATGTTTCTCAGCCCTGAGATAACTGAATCCTAACTTCTGGCCACGATCAGAACTAGAATGTATTTTTCTTAGTTTTAAAACAGCCCCTCCAAGTCAACTGTGCATTAACTAGTTAGATAAAAGCATGTGCCATAGTGTATTATAGGAGCCACATGCCTGGCACACTGTTACACACCTTGAAAATGGGCAGCCTCAACACACAGTATGAGCACAGTGGTCTCAGTAAAAAATAAAAATCCAAAGTAGTTGAGGATACCACTCCTGTTATGAGATCCTTTCTAAAATAAGAAATATTTCAGTTCACAACTACTCCCAAAAGGGTAAGGATGTAGAATTAAAGAATATAAAATCACTGCAACACAACCAAGGCTCCCTAGTGCAATCTGAAAATAGTTGATCAAATGCTGTTTACACTAGCTATGACTATTCCTGGCCATCAAAAGAAGGACCTCAGAACATAAAGAATTTTTAAAAACTTTTCAGTGCTAGCATCCTATCTGCACAATTTCTTTCTAATCCCATATATTTCACTATTTCAATATATGGTCAACTTGTGAGTTAAAGGAGATAGATGATTCAATTTTGTGATGCTCAACAAACCTTCCATTTTGTTGATAAAATGCTTCTTCAAAATCCCGCAATGTTTTGCGTAGTTTCTTTTTTTCAGCTCTGGCTTTCCAAAGTTGTT